TGGAAAGTCTGGCATGGCTGGCTGGAAGCATTTCTTTGCAGAAAGGTGATAAAAGTAATCTTGGACAATGTTGGAGTATGACTGTGTGAAAGGCAAAAACTAGTGTTCCATGGCCTGCTGCGGAACCTGCTGCTAACATGGCCTCCAAATATGTCATTTGCAGATTTGGCACACATTGCCTTGGGCCAGGCCTTGCTTCATGCAGTAGCCTTGCAGAAAGCTGTGCCCACAATGCTGTGCTACTGATTCAAACATATTCAAACAAAAAAGCCCTTGCAGGCAAACGGATTTCAAATGATAGCTCTTGAAGCCAAAACTGAAAAACAACAAGCAGAACCAAGGGCAGCACTGCAAGTTAGTGGTCACTTACTTTCATGCTGGAAAATATGTCTAGATAAGTATGTCAAGAGAAAGCCTAAGCGTTTCTGTTTTCCCCCACTGCCTGTATGATTTACCATTGCTGTGTTTGCATGGTTATTTACCACAAGGCAGCCCACGATCTTTTGTCTGACCAAGGAAATATTTACACTTCCTTTTGTTCCCCTGCTGCCTTTCTTGTTACCAGTTGTTGTATTCCTGTCTTGAACTGAGACTGAGTCCCCCCAAAGTAGGGAGACTGGCACTTGTCACAGCCACTCACACTGCCACGGCATCTCACACATCCATAGATTCCTTTGAGGAAAGCTGGTGTGACATGCTTTGCTTCCTCAGCATTCTTCTTCACAATGGCCTTTTGCTTGGGCTCTGCTTTGGCTAGGGTTTTCTTAGAAGCTGGCCTCTTCATGGCAGTATCCAAATCATTGCCCTTCCTCTTGGTGAGCATGTGTTTGGCCTCAGCTTCATAATCCTCAAGGCTTTTGCCTGGGTGCCATCATTTCCTCCAGCAGGTGCAGCACAGTCAGAAGGTGCAGGTAGAGGCAAAACAGCTGGAACTGCCGGCAAAGCTTTGGGAGTCAGGAGTCCCTTGGGCCGGCCCCATCTGAGAGCAAGGAGTTGCTGGAAGGAGGCTTCTCCAAGCTATCATTGTTCAAGATTTTCTGGCTCAAGGCATCCAAAGCTCTGGCCTGTTTCTCCATCATGTCAAAGAGATGGGTGGTCACCATACTGTTTGTAGGATCTTTCCCTGTCGAAGGCTCTGCTGGCAACTGCTGAGAGGTTGCCTGTGGAGTGGCCACAGCCCTGAGTTCCTTGGCAGTTCCGCTCACCGTGACTTTCTTGGCAATGCTTCCAAGGTTTATCATATGACTGGTAGCGAGCAAGCAGAAAGCCTGCAAGTGTTTATGTTCAAATGGAAATATGTATACGTGTCCATGTGTGTGTGTTCAGGGATTATGTCATGGCTAAATTTTGACTTCAAAATTATCAGCTTGAAAGCAGCCATCACCAAAGATTCTACAAACCCAGTGCCTCCCCAATGTCGTGGGGGCTAGGTGGGTACCTTGCCAAACCAGCATGCAGAGGTTGAGCCACCACAGCCTCGAACGTATCCAGCACAAAATTTGTACATGTCAAAAACTGGAGGCAAGACATTGGTGATTTCACCTGAAGGCTGACCAAAAAGGATGTCAAGTACTTCTTGGTGTCTTCTTTGAGGCTTTTCAACCCACACACTTTGATTCTTTTGATCAGCATGTGGGTAGCATCAACTGTGTTGATGCCATTCTGCATCTGCTGCCATTCGCTTTGGGACAGGTAGTTCCAAGGCGTGGTCACCTGCTGGCCCCTTGGATTGAAGAGGCTGCCCTTGATTCGAGAAATGCTTGCAACTCTGCCTTCGTGTCAGCAGTCAAGATGCCATTTTGAACAGCATCAGGACGCTTCAAGAAGTTAGAAGCAGCGAGCATTTGGACACCATTCACTTTGGACTGCAAAGCTTCCTGCATTCGTGGCACCAGCTGTGAACCAGCGTTCCTTTGGTAAATCGCTTCCATATCACTAATCTCCTTGACTAAGTCCTCAACGTCCCAAGTAGCCATGGTGATCAAAGGATCTAGGCTAAGGTGAGCCCACAATTCCTATGGGCCCACTGCAGCAGAAGCAGAAGAGAATTGATTCTGCTAACCTTCAAAGTTAGAATTATGACAGCTCCTTTGGGCATGGGATAAAGGAGTTTAAGCCTTTACATGAAAGCCCCTTTGGGCAGAAACAATTTAGTTTACAAAATAAAATGAAAGCCCTATCAGCAAAACCTGTAGCAAGAGTCGGTGGGAATGGGTTCTGGGACCCTTTAAGGTTAGAAGCATATAAACTTCAGTGGGCTCTCATACCCAACCCTGGACCTTTACATGAAAGCCCCTTGGGCATAAACCACAATAGTTTCAAAATAGCAGGAAAGGCCACTGGGCCAGAAGAAAACAAGTACACCACATGGTGTTTTTTTAAAATATTTTTTCTCCCCCCACAGTATTTTGATTCCACCCAAGTATGTTTTCATCCAGGCTTTCCATGCACTATGGGCATACAGCTGCAGCTATCAGGCGCAGATAGCATCGCCAGAAGGAACAGGGACCCCAGCCAACATGTAACTGATTTTGATCAAGTTCTTCAGGCTGGCAGGCAAAAGATGTGGGCCTTCATTCTGCTTGAAGTGCTCAAGAGCATCCTGCCTGAGCAAGCGAGCAATTTGTTTACGTCTATCCTCATACTACCTGAGTTCCCGTATGCTTTAAAAACATGATGAATTTCAACCTGGTAACCAAGAATCAAAGCCTGATTGATGAATCTCGACATACCAGAGGCTCTTCCATCCATTGGATGAGGTCCAGGTTTGAAACTGTCGAGATACCATTGGATCAGTGGCTGAACCCCGTGCCTGACCCCTATTACTGGACATCCTGACAGCTTACACCTTGACAAGAAATGCAAAGGACACATGTCTGATGCACTAATGGAACACCAAAACCTGAAGCATCAATGTGCTATACTTGTGACAGCTTCAAAAAATGAAAGCATCAATGTGCTTTTTGGCTAAAAAAATGAAAGCCCTAAAGGCTGCTTATGTAAAAACTACATTATTTTTTTGATAGTTGTGCCAAATAGTAAACCAAATTAATATCAAAATCTGAAAAGTAAAAAATATACTATTGTAGGTTCAAGTTAAGGTTCTGAATTGAAATGCCAACTGTTTGTTTTCCAATTTAGATTTCTGAATTGACATGGAGATTGTTTGATTTTCAATTTGGAATTCTGAATTGAAATGGTGATCGTTTGATTTTCAAGGTAGATTTCTGATTGAAATGGTGAATGTTTGATTTTCTATTAGATTTCTGAATTTAAATGGCGACTGTTTGATTTTCAATTTAAATTTCTGAATTGAAATGGTGACTGTTGGATTTTCAATTTCGATTTCCGAATTGAAAATTGCGACTGCTTTATTTTCAATTTAGAAACAGAATTGAAATTCTTACTGTTTGATAGTTTGATATAAGGTTTTTTTAACCACCCAGGCTTTGCTGGAGTCAGTAAGATCTTAGGCGAGTACAAGTGTTCAAGCCATACTCACCCTCCAAGTTCTTTTGCCATCCACACTTTTTGACGTAGCCCACCAAAGCTGCCACATACGCCTTCACCCGTGAAACCTCTTCCCATCGTTATAGTAGGCATCTCATCCTGTGCGCTTCTCCAAGCTTCCAAGCAACTACTAGCCCAGAAACTTTCCTGAACCAACCTCCACTAGAAGTTCCTCGAGGAGGCACGAACTCTGGTACCTGAGAATGAACAATACTAAATGCATAGATCAAGAAACTTGAATCCCACACAGAAAGCAAAACCATAGAAACATATGATGCTTGAGAAAATGTATGAATTTCCTATCAGATACATCTTGAGTAGAGGACGGCCCAGTCGAAGCTTGAGAGCCTTTTTGTTTGGTGCAATAAAGAAGCTTCTTCACCTGGTCAGGAGTACAGGTCAACCTCCCCCATTGCTTCTGGAACTGGACCAGGTAGTTCTTTGGGGATGCATGCTGCTGAAGCCTCAGAGGGGGTACTTCAGGAGTGGCAGGTGCCAACAAACCAACATCAGGTTGAACTGGCAAAACCGTAGTTGCACTGGCTGGTGAAGACGCGCAGATACCTGGACTTGGGCCAGGTGCCATTGCCATAGAAGCTTCAAGTAGTGGTGCACCTGGGTGTTTGGGTTTAGAACCTTCCACTTCTCGCAGAAAACCAGATCCACTACTGGGCTCACCTGGTGGCTGTTCTGGCAGGTCAGGCATCAGGCCATCCATCTGCAGCCTGTATGCAAAGTTCACCAAGAGGTCCAAGGTCTGCTTTTGCAACTCTTCTTCATTCAAAGGATCCTGAGAGGGGACGACAGCGGGGCCAAAAACAATGAAGTGATGAGTATGACAAAATGAAGGGGGTTGGCCGCCATCACCCTCCCTCTTCATCACTACAGGTGGAAGTGGTGGAACATGTTTGCATTGCTTTGTTGCTTGTGTTACATGCCCATGAGGTTCCTTTAAGGTTTTTTCTATAAAACTATGCTTAATACTAAGATTGCAACTGCAACTACAAACTCCTGACAACCAAAACATTCCCATGCATGAGCGCACAAGAGTCCCAAACTTGCATGCATTCCAAAACTTTGTAGCTTGCAGGGATGGAAAGCAACACAATTGACACTGGAGGACTCTTCTGCCCAGAGTTCAAATTGGCGTGCGTTCGCGCGTGCTGGTGACAGCATCTCTTGGAGCAGAAAACGGACGCTGCGCAGGTTGAGGGGCAAGGGAAAAAATTGCGACTTTCTGTTGAACTTGTACACACATGTAGACATATTTACTTGTGTATATAGTATATATGCATATAGAATGACGTTTGATTACGTTTGTGCGAGGAGGAACGAAATAGACCCCAAAGGTCCCTGCCACATATATATATATATATTATGTATTACATTAGATGTATATATGCTATTTATATATATATATACATATCATGTATTACATTATATATATATATTATACAGTTATTAGATTATATTATACAGTATTATATTATTTACTGTATATCGTATCTATTTCTGTTGTTTTGCTGAGTTGCCATGGCGCAGCTAGCGCGGTTCTCCACTCTCTCTGCGAACAGTTCCACGCTGTTCCTTAGCAGCTAGTTTTTGCACATCCGAAAGTGCAACACCTCCGACTAGCTGGTTGTTTGCTGAAGGCCCTCGAAAAAGAAATGATGAAAATGAACTTATTCAACATTATTCAACTGCTCTTTCAAATCATGATGGTCATGAGTTTTTCTATGTTATGCTCATGCACTTCGAATCAGATTGGCATCTGAGCTGGACATCGCACCAAGGCACTCGGGAAAGCCAAAACGTTTCTGCACCAGTGCTGTGAGTTCACGAATTCGGCGTCCCTTCTCTCCCAAGACCTCACGAGTCCTGGTCAAAGGTTTCAAAGCATGCCACTCATTTCAGTTTCACAAAGTTGTCACGCCTCAAAATGGTAGACTCTGGTAGACGTGAAAGATGTTTGAAGAATGTTTGATTTTTTGATGCTCAACAGTCTCAACTTGTGTCCTGGTGGCCCGAATGATGATCTCAGTGCGGATAGGAGTGACACGCACTTCCACACCCGCATATCCGTCTTCACCCAGTGTGCGTGCCAGGAACTCATTCAACTCGGCGTTGAAAACACCTGATGCTCCAAGATGATGTTGCTCCAAGATGATGTCAAAATGTGACGTTGGATTACAATGGGTTTCAAAACATTAAAGAGGAATTATTCTACCCAACAAACAATTTTTTGAAGGCACGCACCTTAAAAGAATCAATGAAGGAAGATCATGTCTGCCGCAGAAATGATGCTATACATTGCTGTATGTACATTGCTACTAATTTCTGTTTCATCATGTTTCCTCCAATGTGTGCCATTTTGGTCCAGGCACCATCTGCCACAAACTTTCGCTTCTTGGAGACCTGTGACTGGCTCATGGCGAGCGTCAACAATGCGGACTTGAGCCGGAATGTCCCTGCCAAATTCATGCAATTTCCTCTCGCCCAAGGGCAAGTGCGGATGGGTCAAGAATTGCATACCCGCCAATACTGGATGATAAAGTATTAGATTTGTGCAGAATTTTGAGCCATAAACTTGACACATACCCTACTACTGTAGTGATCCTTGGTGAATTTCTGACTCGGTACTACGTAATATCTCAGACACTGAGCTCGAAGTCAATAAAATTCATACCGACACACATATGCCGCATCATGCCGCAATTGCACAAATTCCACTCCAATGTTTTCTTTTTTGGCAAACCCGCATTTGTCACCCATTTGTCACCAGGTCCTCATGAAGCCATCTCCTTAGTTAGCAAAGAAGGTGGCCCTGTGTTGGTCATGTGGACAGCTTGGATATGCTTGGACACCGAAATTTCTTTCAATACAATGTTCAAAAGAAAAGTTGGCCTACTTGCGACAAGCATCAGTAACCCTCCTGTTGTTGGTAGCCCTGGTTGTAGCCTTGGTTGTAGCCCTGGTTGTTGTATCCCTGATTGTAGCCCTGGTTGTAGCCGCCGCCATACTGCTGCTCCTCTTGCTCTGGGGGTGGCATCATTGGCACCGCCTCTTCCTTTGGCTCATGGACAACCACGTTGTCAGGCAACTGCATCTTTGGTCCCATCTTGCCTGGCACGGGCACGTGCTCACATCTGCTTATCTACCCAGCGCGCAGTCAGTGACATCTCTTGTGGAGAATTCCGGGGACATTGCTCTCAGAAGAAAATGAAGATGGAACTCATGGATATGGACTTTGATCGACTGTGCAAGTTTGACTCAAGCATATTAGGCAGCACAACCATTCCCATTCCCACCTTCAGGATCGTGCGACATCATGATCTTAACCTCAAAATCCATCGACAAACGCAATTTGGCAAATGCGCAATCGCTTGACAGTATGCACCTGGCCCTACACCTTTTTAAGTAGTGCCTTTCTACGGGTAGCAAGCTGTGCCATCCACCAAACAAAAAGAACAAAATGGAGAAGGTTAGAAAAACATGCTTCAATTTCGCCCACCTTGCTAAGCTCCACAAAATTATATATATATATATAAATATAATATATACATCATTATACATCCCTGGCAAGTGGACGGATGTGAACAGTGGGAATTCTGAAGGATAACGAAGCTTGAAGTGAGAAAACTTTAGAAAACCAAGCCACCTTGATGCCGATGGTTCCCTGTCGCATCTGCACGTGTCGAACAGCCTCCGAGATGTAGTGCCTCTTCGGCTCTCCAGTGGAGATCAAATAGCCCTGTCTAAACTTCATTGCCTGGAGCCAGAAGCGGTGAAGTTTCAACTCGTTTTCCTTCTATTTGTCATTTAACAGAGGGGACTCTCAAATCGCAAATTCATCTCCCAGAATATCGATAAAATGATTGTCATCATGAACAATTGTGATCAATCATGAACATTTACCTCCACTAAAGCCATCGAAACTCAAAAACCTGCAAAAACCGACTGTTTGGACAAAGACACCCCGACGCAAAACTCAAAATCCCTGACCTTGGCACGCTGCGCACGCAACTTGCCGCTGATGATGACCTCCACACCCTTGGCACCGTTCTCCATGATGAATCTGCCGGCCCGTGAGAACAGAGGCCAGTAGTCTGTGGTTTTGTTCGATCAAAACCCATCCAAAACCATGGCAGGAGACCAGGCAGAAAAATCAGAAGGATATGAGTACATCGAACAATATGGAAACTTTGAAAAGGGACCTAGGTGCCATCGGGTGCATATGTCAATTTGTTTGCTACTTGTTTTCTTGATGTTTTGTGGCGAGCCTGAGAACACCGTAGCAGGCACGGCGGACGGCCAGGCCACCAATGAGTTTGAAGCGAAGAGACTCGCACTGAGCCTCAAGTCATCTCAAGTCCCAGTGCAAATACTTGCAAAAATACCAAAAATTAGAACCAGGTCACCTGACCTGATAAGCAACATGAAATTACAATAAATCATATACGATAAAATAAGATAACAATATATAACAATGGGATAACGTGAGATCATGTGTTTGCCTTTGGTTGAATTCTGTTGGACTGTGTTGAGGCAAAGTACAGAGGATACAGAGGCAAAGTACAAACATTTTCTGTACCCTTCGACTCACATTTCATCAATCCCTTCGACCCTTTGGTTCAAGATGGTTCAAGTTACCATGGCGCAGCTGGCACGATTCTCCACCCGCTCGGCAAAGAGCTCGACACTGTTCCTGAGAAGGGTCAACACAAGCGCAAATGAGACGTGTATTTTCTCTACAATTCTACTTTGTTCCTCTCGAGACAGTTTATTGTTTTCGGACTCTGACATCTTATATGATTCTGCCCGAAATCATCCCTTTCTCAAGAGACATGGTGTATATAAGCAATATTAATACATTGATAAATATGGTCCACGCCATGACATGGTTTGGGTTTTGCCCTTTCTGTTTTGAGCCAAAGAACTCTGGAAAACCAAAACGCTTTTGGACGAGAGCTGTCAGCTCCCGAATTCGACGGCCCTTCTCGCCAAGAACCTCGCGGGTCCTTTGAACAAAACTCAAACAGGGCATATGTGCAAAAAACTGAAAGGCAGCGAAAGGAGTGAGAGGCAATGGGAGGCAGTGAGAATGCCAATATCTGGAATCAACAAACAAATCACACATGTGTCCTGGTTGCACGGATGATGATCTCAGTTCGAATGGGCGTCACGCGCACTTCCACTCCGGCATAGCCGTCTTCTCCCAAAGTGCGAGCCAAGAATTCGTTGAGTTCAGCATTGAAGACACCTATGCTGGCCAAAAATGCAACAAGGGAAGGAAAAACAAAACACATATAGATCATATAAAATGAAAATGCTGAAATGCTGGCCGTTTAATATGTTTAATGTAATTCCGGTGCGGTTCATGATTTTCAACGACAAACCTTGCCAAAAAAATACTTGCAGTCAAGAAACCATCGGCAACGAATTTTCTCTTTTTGGAGACTTGCGATTGGCTCATGGCTTGCAGGCAAGGGCGAAGGTTGAGTTCCCTGTGGTGACCTATTTGCGGATTTGAGCCTCAATGCCCTGGTCGAAACCACTATTTCAAACCAACCCTTCATGCACCTGCTGCGAGGTTTTGTGCACTCTAAACCAGGAAGGAAGTGGCCATCTAGATCATGCCAATCGGAGTGCCCTCTAGTTTGCGTTTCCTTGCGAAACGTTGGTTTGGATGTTTAACTGTTAACATATTGCAATTGCCATTGCAATGAAGTAAAACCACGATGATAAAATTAAGTCAATTTGAAATGCAAAATGCAACACATAAGTTTTTTTTAAGTCATTCCAATACTGTAATTTTCACGCGAAACGGAACAGATCGACCTTGCCGCCAATGGAATGCTTCCAAGTGTCTTGTTTTGGGACTGTGCTGCTTGGTGTTCGTTCCTGTCCAAAAAAAATTAACCCGCCATTTTTCTGCCCGCCCTGCCCCCCCCCAGTCATTTGGGAGGGTGGCACTTCGTCACAATTTCTGAATAATCAAAAAACAAAAAAAAATGTATCATATGTAGGACGCAGTGTGACGTGTGGGGATGTTTTGAGTGAATGAACATCCATCTTGCCCACGAGCTGGGACTCCAGCTCTTTCTGCGACAATCGAGCCAGTTCACCAACTCTTGCTGTCTGTGCTTGCTCCTGGTGAAGTTTAGAGCAGTCGCAACACAAAGGACCGCATGCCACGGTCATTCACATACTAAAGTCTTGGAATGTTTTAGAATTTTAGAAATATGTTCGAATATGTTCGAATGCGCTAGATGCTTTACTCTGCCTTAGAGTTTTCATGAGATTTCTAGAGTTGAAGGTTGAGGGTTCGATTTCCTGGTCCAAGCGCTCGAGTTTCTTCAGTTCCATCTTAAGCCTTGGCACTTGTGACCCGAAACAAGTGAAGAAACGCATCAAGAGTCAGCGCAACCATGTGGGATGTAACATGATAACATATGATAACCATATGTGTTTGTTTTTTTTGAATATGTCTGACCAGATTTCAAGTCAACGATAGCACAAGAGTCGCAACATCTTGCAGAGCATTGCAAAACTCATTTCGAATGCAGCTCAGCCAGGCACTCTTCCTTGGCAAGCCTTGGGAAAATAGAGACAGCTGCATAGGCTGCAGATGCCAGTTTTATCATGTTTTATCATATTTTATTCAGTTTTTGGGACGTCCACAAATTGCATCAAATTGCCATCTTTCCGACATCTTCCGATATGATCCCACGCCAAGTGGCTGCAAATCCGTCATCGGTCGCGGAGTTGGGTGCATCCTGCCTTCCTCACCTTGTCGTCCAGTTCCTGCCCATGTTGGATTTGCGTTGGATGTCGGAAAACGATGGAAAACGCGCAACTTCTATGCAACTCCCAGCATCTCCCCCAGCATCTCCCCAGCATCTCCCCATCATCTCTCAGCCTCCATGGGAGTGAGATTCCGGCTTCCTGAGTGACATGCACCAGCTTGGTGGATCTGCCCAATGACTGAATCTCAAAACATCTTTGATTCACTGAAGCTCCAGAGCACTTTCTGAGCTCCTGAACTCAAGACATCCCTCACGTTGGATTCACGTATCATACCTATTCATACCTCATATATCGTCATATCATCTATATTCATCTATCACCTCTGCATACCTCTGCCTTCTGTTCATCTGCAGCTCAGGTGCTCTTCATGATGTGGACGCGACGAGTGCTTTGACTCCTTCGACTCCGTAGATTTCTGGTCCTTCTTGTGGTCCTTCTTTGAACCTGCACCTTGGACCAGTCCCGACATGTCTTGACGCGAGCACCCAGAAGCACAGTCAAACATAGTCAAACCAGTCGCCACACAGCATTGAGGCTTGAGATGGCTTGAGATGGCTTGAGATGGCTTGAGATGGCTTGAGTGTTCCACGCGCGGTTGCCGCAGGCTCCTGTGTACCACATTTTGCAACTACATGCAGCTACCAACTGTGACACGTCAAGATCTTCACGCATGCTTCTATGCAAACTTGTATGCAGGCACGTCCAGCTTTCTTCATCTAGGGATATGTAGGGTGATATATGGTGATATGCAGTCGGAAAAGCTGCGAACAAATCACGACATCGAGAAATAGGGACAAAAATAGGACAAAGAGTCTGCTGTGCAAATCGATTATGCCCTGGCCAGGGGCGTGCCGATATTTCTACGTGACTCTGTCGCACACCAAGTCAGAAGTCGAAGCACGAAAAGCGCTCAAAGAATATCAAAATCACAAACCAGCTGATGGCATCTGATGGCTACATCATGCTAAATTGCTGCTTCCTCTCGTGAGACTGTGGACAAACATTTTAGGAAAGGTGGCCATGGCCTGGGAAAATGGCCGAAGAGAAGCTATACAGTAGGACAGTAGGACAGTAGGACAGGAGAGGACAGGATGCTATAGGAATGTTATTATATGGATGTTTAGCACAAGGACATTGGAAGACAAAGAGCAAAAAGAAAACAAGCTGTCGCCTGCTTTCGGAACGGGCCATTGAAGAACTTCACCACCTGCCACAAAGATCAGAGATGTCAGGACAGAATTTGGCCTTTCCCCATTGGTGTCCTGTGGCCTTCTGCAACTCCGAAAATCAGTTCTCACACCAAAGAGCAACAGGATGCAACAGGCGCAAAGTCTAAGTCTGAAAGCAAATGAAAGTAACTATTTCATCTTCTGGCCAAAGCTGTGTTGATGTGGTTCGTTTAACTTGCCTCGTCGTAGTTTTCAGCGCACCACATCGCTGCAACGAGCAAAGCACAAGCCAAGATAAACTTCATCGAGTTGCTGAAAATGATTCTCCCACAGCTACCTGAGGGAATAGGACCGACAAATATTGGCTTTGAGACTCTCATTAAGACATATGAAGACATTAATTTTTAAGATCTTCAAGCATGTTCAAGTCTTTCGTGCACCGCTGTTGCTCAATTATTGTCTTCTTTACACTGGGTTGGCCAAGAAGCAGTCTTGGTACTGTATCGGAATTTCCTGAAAGGCAAAGCATGCAAGCTCATCAAATACTTTGACCAACTGCATCGAAAGAACGCCAGGAATCTCAACAACAGCCATGTATATATAGGGGATCATATTTGAGCAGCTCCAAGCTTGTTGTGAGGCAGTGTCTGCGCAAACATCATGCCAGTGCCACCACCCTATCGGCCGGGTTCACTCTGCACACAAGCGCTTGTCCTTGATCTCTTCCTTTTGCTTTCTGCGCACTTTGGGCTTGCTTGAAGGCACCGCTGGACCAGACAGCAGCGGCTGCAGCAGTTGCGAGGGAGGTGCCTCCGACGACCAAACAGACTGCAACTCTTGAACTCTGAAGGGCTTGGTGCCTGGACCTCGTGGTGCTTAAAAAGTAGGCACACTTTTAGCATCTTTTAGCATTGTAATTATTGTAATGCAGTGTAGTAAACTGCTGGTTCCTGAAGACATGCGTCTGGAAAAGGCAAGAGAGCATAGTTTGAGGATGCTCAAAGTCCACTGCCTCTTCGGTCTGGATGGCCACCGCCTGAAAGGTTCGCGAGGCAAGCTTCTAAATCTTCTAATTACGGTCGCTCGTGAAACAAAACAATCAAAGGGAGGGAGGGAGAGAGAGAGAGAGACAAGAAACACCACACGCACACACACACACAAAACTGGTGGTTCATAAAAGCATTTCAGTCTCCAACTGTTTTCTGAAAACGGATTTCTGCAAGTCTATCGAATCACACGGAAAAGTATGCAAAGCGGCATCAGTAGGCCTTGTGCGGAATCTGCGTGCGCTCCACGTAGACGACACGCTCCGCAACTTGATCAGGCCGAGGCAATGGGACCTTAGACAGCAAACTGCGGCCGCTCTGTGGGCCCTGGGACTTCGAAGAGAGACAGAGAAGTGAGAAATACATGGAAAATCATAGAATTACATGGAAAATGAAGCGCAAAACATGATTTGTCGTTGTGTGTGTGTGTTGGTGCGTGTTTGGGCGTCGCTTTCTTTTGCATCAGTCATGTATTGTACCGCAAGTAGGAGCTCCTCATGTGTGGGGCTAGCAGTCGAGAGTAGGCAACAACAGAACAAAGAGCTTCAGCATGGTAAGCTTTTGAGTTCAGGCCGAAGTGCGACACCCTGTTGACGGAGTAAAGCCTGCTCCTGATGCAACCCACCATCTTGTTGCCGAAACGGCATTGCATAGCTTTGCGAGAGAAATTTTGCAAAAAAAGCTTGGGTTTACTCAAACGCTGGCCTTGTCAGGACGCTTTGGAGTGATTGGTTCAGAAGAAGATCGTCCCATGGCCTGGGAAAGTGCAAAATGGGTGGTATCCTGTGGCATCCAGAAGGCCAGAAAAGCCAAGTCAAGCCGAGTCAAGCCAAGTTAAGCCAGCCTTTGTGAAATCGCGAGACCGGGTGGTCAAGGACTTTTGCTCCATGTCCACATCCAGTGCCTGACTGACTAACCCCAAATCGAACTGATCAAAACTGCACAGGAGACTAAGTTTGCAGAAAAGCAAGGTGCCCCTCTTACACTCAATCTCGTGAGTCTGCTTATAATCGGTGGGCGCACCAACTCACAAAGACACCATAAAACACCCGGGCACGCACGCAGCACACGCAAACCATGCAAACTCACTCAGCCCAATCCAACCTACATTACCAGCCAAAGAAGTAATCAACGAAAAAATAAACAACCAAACAAACAGCCTGATGGACAGACAGACGGCCAAACAAACGGAAAGAAGGACGGACACAAACAAATGCAAAACACAAACACAATACTCAACAAACGCAGAGTTCGTTCCAGAGATTTTGATGTTTGCACCGTGGATCTACCTCCGCTCGGCTCGAAAAGGTGCGCTAGGAACTTTGTGCCCTGCTCATAGAAAGCCCACCCCAATTGAATTCATCAGTGCAATAACAGCAATGACAACGAAAAATTACATAATATAATCATAATATTACCCATGGTTTCATCCAAGAATCCACGGACAAGCAGAAATGAAAAGGACAAGACAAGACAAAAAACCAGAGCACACACCTTGCACACACGAAACACAAGTAGCATAATATAGATACCTCGACCAGGTGCTCCTAGAATATCCTGGAATTACGGGGAATTACACCAAGAAACGATTCACATTTCATACATTTTCATACTGTGACTTTCTTTGACTCCTGGCACTTTGGCCGCCTTCGGCTCCAACTCCTGCAAAGACTCCTCCTTCTCGTCAATGACCTGACCCCAGCTTGTAGCGCAAGTTGCGCTAATTTAATGGTCAAAAATCTGAAAGAACAGAAATGCACAAGGAACGAGAGCAGATGAGAAAAGAATGCAGAACTCGGCCCCTGAAGATGTTGGAAGTTGTTTGCCTTCAAGTCTGGCTGGTCCTTCTCATCAACTGCCTGTGAACATGCATGAACATGCACCAAATTTGCATGGCAAATCTAACGCCGTTTTCACTTGTTTCTGTTACTTCACTAAATAAACCTGGCTTGCACTCATTGCATCTACAAGTGTGATATTATATATATATATACAGAATACAGAACATATTTTGCAGAGGATGTCGTTTGCGCTGTCTCCAGCTGGGTCATTGCCCAGAAGACCCCAGTGAGACAGGATCAGTCCTTCAAAACGGCTGAGTGCCCTTCCTCAGTTCCTTCCCAAAGAAAGGTCACAGAAGGTTTCATCAAGTCTTCACCACCGAGGGGCAACAAGACGGGCACGATCGACAAGGCGTCAACGCAGTCAACGCTCCATAGCCATGGCCAAGTCCTCCAGGAGACTTCAGCTTCACCGGGCCATGTCGATTTGAGGCTGTGCTGGCTATGCTGGCTATGCTGGCTATGCGTCCACGAGAAGGGTGACAGTGGCAGAGACAGCAGCATCTTTCTCACTGCTTTTGCCACTTTCAGGATCTCTCAGCTGGTCACCTTTCACACAGACCTGCGCGAACTGCGTCTTCGGCCTGCACACCTCCACAGCCTCCACGTGCACCTCAACATAGTTGATGGCATCACGAAATGCCACTATTCTCCCACGCTCCCAGGATTGAGACGAAGCACTCCACACTTCCACGATGTCTCCCAATTTCCGCTTTTTGGTAAACAAACTCTGGGATCACATCAATCACTGGACCTTCAAAGCAGGTGCATTTCGCCCACGGGAACCACGTGGGCGGCAACATGGCATCGAAGTACAGTAGTCAACAACTTTGAGCACGAAAGTGACTGAAGACGCGTGTCTCTTCCATTCAATTGCACCGTCAAGACAGTTAGCAAATGTTGCCTAGAACTGCAGAGTTTCGAAGGACATACAAAAAAGAAACCGTCGTCCACATGCCCTGCCTGCAATTATCACAATGCTTTCAGCAACGACAACGTGCACAATTCGTAATCAGTTTTATACATATTTGCAAGCATGTATCTGCACATATTTGAACTGATTTGGTTAACATATATGGATATGTATTCAATGCGATATCAATGCGATTAAATATATAACGGTATATTTAATGTGGTCGTTTTTTCTGTTGTTTTCTTGCACTTTTCTTGCATACGTGCTTGATCGTGTGCACAGATACGTAACTCCGTGAGTCTCATGGATCATTGCCACATATTGGCACACTGTGTGGTCACATGTGGTCACCTTGGTCTTGGGGTCTCGGGGTCTCGGGGTCTCGGGGTCTCGGGGTCTCTCACCTCTCGAAGCTTTGGCGCAGGGTCGCCGTGGTCCTTGATGACCTGCAGACGCAGATCCAGGCCATCCAGGCCATCCAGGCCATCTGCGTCCACACTACATTCTGCTGGTGCAATATCAAGCATACTAAATCATACTAAGTTACTGCTAAGAGTACGTATGAGTACGTGATACATCATTTCATCATGACACATCATAATAATTCATAATACCTATTTTACATATCTTACTCATCCTGACTAATCCTTGTGTACTCCTGTTGCTTCCTCATTTTTTGCACACACGGACTAGTAATGGCATTGCAGTCGCAGTCCCACACATGGCATTAGCCTCCTTGCGAGGCTTCCCTTTCTTGGGGCTTCCTGAAGGATCAAGCAACAATCAATGATATGGCAATAAAACTCAATCTTGCTGCTAGATAGAAAAGGATGATAGAAAAGGATAGAAAAGTTGCAACGTTTGGCAGATGCCGTGAATGTTCCGAGCCTGTGTATAAAGCGTCATGGCCGGGTTCATTTGCAGAAAATAATTGAGTAATTGAGTATAATACAAGGCAAAGAAATATACATAATATGTCACCCACCACCTTCCCTGCTGAATGGCTCCCGTTTCCGTCCTTTTGCCTGTGAGCCTTAGTGAAATACTGTCAATGAGCAGGGTTCTCATCATGAGTGCTTGCAAAGTGCCGACAGCACATTCCTTCTGAAGCACCTGACAATAATTACGTGGTGCAGCATGGTTTCACATATGCTGCAGTCGCTTCCGCACGCAAACATGCTCAAAGGATCATGCCACTTGTAATTCAGAACGAAATGATGAATGCACAGAACGAACCTCAAGAATTCCGATGTGCAACTGTGGCTTGCTCTGCGGCTAAGGGGCCTTGTGCCTTACCTGCTTTATTTGCCAGCATATCCACCTAGGCTTCAGAATCAGGATCCAAAAAGAGAAGTGGGGCAGAAAAGAATCCGAGACTGGCCGAGACTCTGTTCATTGCCCCAAGACTGACATGCAACGAGAAAATACGAGAAATAGGCAATCCATATCCAGTCCACCGCCTTTTCCTCACACAATCACTGCACCACTTAGACATCCACAGCTGTCTTGAAACTCACGTCGTGGCTCACCATGATGGGCACCACCTGCGTGGCACAACTTCGCTGCCATCGCACAATGACAATCAATGTAATCTCTCCGATCTCTCCTTTTGTTTTGAACCTTTTTGATCCTCACAGTGTGCCAATTTCTTTGAACATCTTATGATATCGGATGCCTCGGCCAAATACTTTTGGTAGCGAACGTCGATGATATCACCTGTTTTAAAGGCGCAGGATGTAGACATCCATTGCTTAGAGCGTTGCTTCCCCACCAATGATACCAATATAATCCAATATATACCAATGTGCCAAGATAATCCAAGAATCCAAGACAAAGAAAATGAGGAAATGTCCGAGCCCAATGGCCCAATGGGCCTTTGCCAAATTGCCCTGATGGATCGTCCAGTAATACAGCCTGAAGCAATGCGGCAAACAAATCTCACAGAATCGAGGCTTTTGTTCGAAGATGTTCGAAGTGATTTGCGGCAAATTTTAAGCAAACTTTAAGCAAACTTGCATTGCATTTGAGCAGCCCAGTTCTGGTCATCCTTCACCATCTCAAACAAGGCCCGCGGAGTCATTTGCTCATTGAGTCTTGGAGAAGTTACCTGCACTGTCGGGAAAAATTGACAAATTGCATCAGATTGTCAGCTGCTCTCAAGAAAATCGATTTTTCTGACATGTGACAAGAGCTATCAAGAGCTGCCGTGATACGTTTGACACTTTTTGCTTCTGCACTTTTGGGCCTGTTCTCTGTGTGCATATCTTTAGGCTTGAGACGAACACCGAGTCCAAGCCTTGCAATACGTATACATACGTATACATAATGACACATATCCTGATTATGTGCGCATGTGTATAATATATATATATATATATGTTTGTGCTCTTGTTCATATGCCTGCATATCCCATTCTGCATTTCATTCAATCCAACATTACCTTAGCCGTTTCGAGATCGAAAACAAGAAGGCGCGTCCGTGGATTGGGCGTTGGTGTGGGAAGACCCGCACAAATCGAGAAGTGTACAAGGCACACAAGGCGAAGGACACTTGGGACTCAGGGCTGACCTTAAACAGGTTATGAGCCCAAGGTGACGCTCTATGGAGGTGATGCAGAGGCGAAAGGCAACCCCTGAGGAGCTGAAACAAGGCATGGAGCAGATGATGGCTGCCCAGGAAAGGTTGTCTAAAGAAGCAACTGAGGAACCCATAGAAGATATTCCTGGGTCTCATAGTGATGTAGCTCAAGAGAAAGAGCCTAGGCTAGAAGATGCAAAAGAGTTTCTGGATGTTGGTTCAGAAGGAATTGAGATGTCAAGGGATTTGGCACCATCCCCGCAAGAAGGGCAGAAGGCAGAAAGGAGTTCCGCAAAGAGGTTAGAGGATAGCCAGGGTTCGAAGCAGCCCCCAAAAACCCCAAAACGGATCTCAGTTTCCGCCCTTGCCGCGCAGAGTGCAGAGCCCGCAGCTAGCGCTGCTCAGAAGCCTGGAGGAGACAGCGTTTCAGGCAAAGGAAAGGGAACGAAAAGAGAAGAAGAGAAAGGACAGGACATGGCATGTGACACTCCTGTTAGGCCACCTGTGGAGTCTCAGATGTACACCGCAGGTTTTGAGTCAGGTCCTGATAGATCTCACATGACCACACCTCTGTTTTCAGCACAGCAGCTTAGAGAATGGGAAGAGTTGCATAGCAGAGCACCATGGCTTTACAGGCTCACTCCAGGCGTTCAGAGGCCTGTTTGGCTGGAAGAAGAGGAGCGAAGGTCCCGCCTGTTGCAGGAGGAAAGAGCTGAGGAAGAAGAAAGAGCGCGTCGGCTTCAGAGAGAGGCCGAAGTGAATGAGATGAGAAGGAGGCTTCAGTCTCTTGAAGAGGAGAACTTGCGTTTGAAGATGGAGCGAGAGAATTTGCGGCAGAGCATAGCTCAGCCGAAGGGTTCTAGCTATGGCACCCCAGAAGATAAAGATGCTGAAGTTTTTCCCAAGGAGGCTGAGACCACCAAAGAGGAGGCCCAGACCCCCAAGGGAGGATCAGGTGAGGCAGAGGATCAAAAGGAAGAGAACAGAGGGTCAGCTGGAGCTCAGCTGCCGATGAATGAGGAGCGTAAGCTGCAAGCAACAATGATGCAGAGCATGGTGAAGCTCATGGAGGGCATGCAGATTATGCAAGCGCAGATTTTGGACGTTCGGCGTCAGAAAGACGTTGAAGTTGTCAAGAATGCGGCAGTAGAGTTGCCGAAGTTGCAAGAATGGAAGGCTGATACAGCCCCTTTGGATTTGGCAGACTGGCTGTTGGTCGTAGAACCGGTCCTTTCCGATCTCTCCGACAATAGTCAGCAGTGGTGGGAGGCTATGTTGGCTTCTGTTCGTCAATGGTATGCAGAACACCAAGAAAAGACACCGTTAGAGCGAGTCAATCACAAGCCACAGGTCCCTCTTCCACTTCAAGATCCACGCTTCCAGAGGTTGGAAAAGCGTGCAACTGCTCTTTTGATGTCGGCCATTCCTCCTACGCAACAAGAGGAGGTGGTGGCTTCCAAGGAGGTGAACACCGTCGGGATTTTGTCCCGGCTCATGCTATGCTATCAACCTGGAGGGCTCTCAGAAAAAGGGGCCATTCTCACGGCCTTAGATTCTCCGGGGGAGGCATCAAGCTTGGCTGGAGCGGTGACTGGTCTTCGACGTTGGCTGAGATGGCATCGAAGGGCTGGAGAAGTTGGTGTCACCCGCTCAGATGCGACTTTGCAGATCAAAGGTCTTGGGCGTTTGATGAAGCGAGTTTTGAAGGATAACGCCGATTTGGCGTTTAGAGTGCAACTATCGAGAAGCAGTTTGCAAGTGGATACAGCTCCGACTGAAGCGTCTGTGATGACGTTTGCCAACCATCTACTTGCGGAAGTGGAACAAATAGCACATCAAGACAAGAGGAGAAAGGAAGATGCGAAGAGCAGCACAGAACCAAAGGTAAAAAGGCTGGAGGAGTTTGCTGGAGGTTCAAAAGGTGAAGGCAAGGCATGGAGGGGAGAAGGTGCGCAGTCTTCATCTCCATGCAAGTTCTTTCAGTCGGAGGAGGGCTGTAAGAAGGGCAAACAATGCACTTGGAGCCATGTCCTGGAAGGAGACCGAAGGCGTTGCTGGACGTGTGGCTCGACAGGCCATTTGGCTCCAGCGTGTGATCGCCCCAGGGAGCCTCTCAGAGACCAAGGCGAGAAAGGTCAGAAGGGAGGAGAAGGCAAGGGTTTCCACAAGCCCAGTGGCAAGGCTTTGAAGAAGGGCGAGAGCCAACAGAAAGAAGGGCCTGGAGGAGAGGCTACAAGTGAGGAGTCAGCAGCATCAGCAGAAACGATGAAAGGTCTGTTGGAAGAAGCCAACAGGATCTTGAAGGGCCTGTCAGCAAGGACAGGAGAAGCCGAAAGCAGGACAAAAGATGAACGACTGACTGCCATGCAAGGCCAGTTGGATGAACTTCGGAAGCTGAAGGTTTTGAGGCTGTCGCGCATAGGGAAGGAACAAGAAGCCTATGGCCTGCTCGACAGTGGAGCAGCCAACCCTATGCGTGGCAAAAGAAGAGGAGAAGATCTGTCACAACTGGAAGAGGTCCAGGTGACGCTGGCCGACGGCAGTCAGGTAGGGATGAAGATGACGGCATCGGGAGTCATGGTGGTGGAAGATGAGTGGGCCGAACCCATTGTCCCACTTGGCCTCCTGACTAGCAAGTTAGGATATGTGGCGTCATGGAAGAAAGGGCGCATGACCCTAAGCCACCCCATTGATGGAAAGGTGGAGGTCTGCATGAGAAGTGGATGTCCTCAGGTATCCCGGCTTGATGCCTTGAGGATGATTCAGAAGCTGGAAGAGGTGGAGACGCCAAGAATGCAGGCCCTGAAGCTTAGCCAAGAAGAGATGTGGCTGTGGGGGTTGATGGAAGCCCATCCGGTACTGAGGATGTTGCCGGAAGCCATCAAAAGAAGATTGGTGGTGAAGCCAGCAGAGGATCTCAGAGGTATCCCTGATGCAAACCGCCGAAGAAGAAGAGTGATGGCAGAACAGGGGTTCGTGGTTCACCTCTATGCCGGTGAGAGTGCCGGGTACAACCTCAGCCGAGCGTTCAAAGAAGCAGGAGGAGATGGACGAAGGCTGGTGGAAATAGATGTAAAGAGGGAAAACCACGAGAAGCACAGGAAAGGAGCACACGATATGCTCGATGATGAGAATGGACCTTTTGCGTCCCTATTGAGGAGTGCCTTGGATGGATCGCTGCTGGGCATTGTCATGGGCCCAAATTGTAGGACGAGGTCAATTCTTCGTCACTACCCGTTGGCAATCCCAGGAGGAGGTCCTCGGCCGTTGAGGAGTTGGGATCAGCCATGGGGGAAATCAGGTAATACCCCAGAGGAGCAGCGAAAGGTGGAGGATGATGATGTGTTGCTTTGGAGGGGACTGATGTTGTTCATCATCAGGGAGGAGGTCAGGAAGGCGCTCCACAGTGACAAAATTCCTGTCACAAGGTTGGGATTGGAGCAGCCAGCAGATCCAACCCACTACATTCCCGAGGTGGTCACGCTCTGGAAGACTGAGGAATGGGAACTGCTTCGAAGCATGTACGACCTTAAAGCCCAGAGCTTTAAGCAGTCAGCCTGGGGAGGTCGAGCAGTGAAACCCACGACGTTTGCTGGCAACATCACTCTGAGGCTGCCGGAGGAAGACCAAGCAGAGAGCTTTGAGGAGTCGGCAGCGAAAGCTCAGGTGATGAACTCAGCGGAGCTGTCAAGATGGCCGCCGGGAATGATGAAGGAAGTTGCCATGAGGATCCAGCAGGATGTCCTTCGAGCGAAGCTGAAGGCGGCCAAGATGTCATGGGCAGAGCATCTGGAAAGGGGGCACACACCGTTTCGACGTGACTGTAGAGTGTGTCAAGAAGCATCAGCCAGAGGTCGGATGCATTCTAAGGTGAAGCATCCCAGGGCAGGTGTGATGAGCCTGGATGTTACCAGTCCCTACAAGAAAGGGAAGGACATCGATGGTGAAGCCAAGTTCATGTTGATTGGCACCTACACCTGGCTCAGACCCCCCGATGAGGAAGAGGCAACAGAAGTTGATGAAGAACCAGAGCTCGAAGCCCAAGAAGATGAGGATCAGTGGCCAGAGATTGAAGATCAAGAAGCCGCACAAGAGGAAGAAGAAGAGCAGGCAGAAGCAGCAGAAGACCCCCAGGAAGAGCAACAAGCAGAACCCCCACGAGCATTTGAGCAGCCCCCTGAACCCCCAAAGATTGAGGTGATGAGAATCGGCATTCCCATCAAAGGGAAAACACAAGAAGCAGTCTTGAGTGGCTTCATTGAGTTGTACCTTCAGTTGAAGGTAGATGGTTTTCCGGTGCATACAGTGCACACGGATCGAGGACGTGAATTCGTCAATCGACGATTCAGAAGTTGGTTAAAATGCAGAGGAGTTGTGCATTCAACCAACGGAGGAGAAGATCCTATGGCCAATGGAAGAGCCGAAAGGGCTGTTGGCGAAGTGAAGAGAAGAATAAGAAGGATTCTCCACGGCTCGGAGATGGATGTGTGTTGGTGGCCTATGGCACTCAGGTTCCTGATGGAGTCAGCCAGATTGAGGAGGAAGAAGGAGGGCATCAAGGTACCCCAGTTTGGGGAGAAGTTACTGGTGAAGACAAGGAACTGGCGCACAAAGGCATTTCAACCCACACATGAAGCAGCACGATACTTGGCACCAGCCATAGAGGCACATGGGCATTGCGTGCTGAGAGAAGATGGACGTTGGGGTGTTGCCCCTTATGTGGTTCGAAGCATACAGGAACCACCGCCGCCCAAAGATGAAATGTGGCTGGCGATCGCAGAGGAGGTGGAAAAAGACGAAATCCAGGAGAGGAGAAGGATCAGAGAGAAGAGGCCAATCAGGGATGGAGGACTGGAAAGCCTTTTGGGGATCAGAAGAGAATGATCCAAGAAGAGGCACAGAGCGTGGAGATGGACCAGCTGGACAACGCACTGCTCACCTTTCAGAAGATGGACCCTTGGAAGAAGGTGATGAAAAGGGCGGAGGGAGCAGAGCAGGAGATTCTACAGACAAAGATAGTCTCTCCGCAAGAGCTGGTGAAAGATGTCCACCTCTGGGATGAAGCCATTAAGGCCGAGCTAGATGCTCTCCTTAATGCCAAGGAAGCTTTGAGGAAGATCACTTCAGAAGAAAAGGCCAGGCTAGAGGAGAGGCATCCCGACCTGCTCGTGGTGCCCTCGAAGTTGGTCATCACGAGAAAGGCAGGTGGTCGCCGAAAGGTGCGGATTGTGGCTTGTGGAAACTACGTCGAGAAGACAGAGAAAGAAGATGTCTTTGCTAGTGGATCAGATTCCATTAGCTTCCGCATAGCACTGAAGAAGAGCTTGGATGAGGGATGGACAGGAGCCACAGCCGATATCAGAACGGCGTTTTTGAATGCACCTCTCGGTAGGTCGGCAGAAGCTTTGGAGGGCCTATGGAAGAAAGAAGAGCTCGAGGAGCTAGGCCAAGAAGTAGTGGTAGTTCTGGTCAAGCCACCAGCCCTGCTGATCAAGCTCGGCTACATCAGCCCCGAAGACTGGTGGGTCGCAGTCAAGGCGGTCTACGGGCTGAGACAGAGCCCCAAGGCTTGGGGTGACCACAGAGCCCTGGTTCAATCCACCACGGACCCAAACGTCTGGAAGATCGTGAAGAGGTCCGGTGGGCTGGATGAGGAGATGGAAGGGCTATGTGTGGTGTATGTTGATGACCTGATGGTCTTATCCCAAGAGCACATCGTCAAGGAGTGCCTTGAGAGGATATCCCGAGAGTGGGAAATAAGCACCCCGGAATGGCTAAACGAGGTCAAGCCAGTCAAATTCCTGGGGATGGAGGTCTTGATGGGCACAAAGAGTGCTTTCATCACACAAGAGAGCTACGTACAGGACCTCCTCAGACGAAATGGCGAAGAGGAAGGCCATAAGTCTGGAATTCCGATCTCAAAGGATCAGGTGTTGAGGCTGGAAGAAGAAGACCACACGAAAAGCCCAGAAGACGTCAAGGCTGCACAGCGTGCCACTGGCGAGCTGATGTGGCTTGTCACACGCAGCCGTCCAGATTTGATGTTTGCATTGAGTAAGATGTCTCAAGCCACACTGAAGAATCCCAAAGAAGTCCTCTTGGTCGCCAAGCAGGTGTGGAAATATTTGAGGAAGACCAAGGCAGAAGGTCTGGAGCTGAAGGCTGGCGGTAAGGACCTTGAGGTTTATACAGATTCCTCCTACGGACCAGGTGGTCTCGACTCCCAAGGAACTGTATTGGTGTTATGGGGAAAAAGCCTCATCATGTGGAAATCGGGCCGACAAGGAGCGCCTGCCCTCTCAACAGCTGAGAGTGAGCTGACAGAGGGAATTGATGGAATGATCATGGGGGATAGTGTGGATGTTCTCATTCTGGAGCTCAGCCAGGATACATATGCCAAGGTGATCAAGATAGACAACACAGCAGCAGTGAGCTTGATGACAGAAGCTGCTGGAAGTTGGCGCACACGCCATCTGAGATTGAGGGCGTCCCATCTGCGGTGGAGGATTGGACGATTGGATTGGGTGGTGGAGGCGATCTCAGGTCAGGTGCAGATTGCAGACATTGGGACAAAGGCCCTCACAGCTCCGAGGTTAGAGGAGTTGAAGCAGATGATGGGCATGAAGCAGAGAAGAGATGATCAAGAGGAGGAGAGGCAGGAGCAGAAGGATTCAGGATCGAGCCAGCACATGAAGAAAGGAGCAGAGGAGACAGGGCTTCAGGAGGCAGGAGCAGAGGTTGAGAGGATTTTGAGGATGCTCATCCTCCTCTGCAGCGTCCAACAGGCCAAAGCTCAAGAACAGGAAGAGGAGGAGGGTTGGAGCTCTTTAGCTCAACTTGTAGCTCTGACGGTGTTTGCCATGATCGGCGTCACGACATGCATAGGCTGGATGGTGAGGTTGATGACCCCAGTGAGGAGGAGCTTGGAAGAAGAAGAATTGAAGAAGAGAGTGAAAGAAGCACTCTCGGCACACTCGAGCCAGAGGGGCGCGAGTCGCGCACAGGAGTCAAGCCATGGAAGGGCGACTCCGACGAGGAAGGAGCAGGGCCATGAGGATGAAGGAGGAAGACAGCAGCAGACGGCAGCCAGCTCAACATCTGGAGTTCACACACCAGAGGAGCCAGCATCTAGTTCTCAAGCAGTCCCCCCATCCCAGATCTCCGTGAAGGCTCCGCCACCAATTACCAAACAAGCTCCGCTACCAGCACCAGCCAGCACCCAACACCAGAGAACAGTGCCAACTATGAGCGGGAACACATGGACCCCGGGAGAAGAAAGAGGCCAGAGGGCGGTGAGAGGAAGCATCCTATCACCAATTTTTGTGACTCCATGGGGTGCCCGCTATCATGAATACACAAGTTGTCCTACTTTGGCCAACACAAAGAGATTTGTGCCGTGTCAGTGGTGCGATGTTTGCGCCCCACTCGGAAAGACTGGAGACCAACCGGTGTACACGTGTGGACCGGGTTCGAAAGCGCACTACGATTCCGACTGCGTTGCGATGACTGACTCTGGAAGAAAGTATCAGAAATGTCAGCGCTGCGTGGATGCGACTTAGCGAGTGAGAGACGGCTTGAGTCAATCTTGGAAGGTCACCGTTTTTAGGTTTTTGTTACCTTCCACTGGCACCTAATGCTTGTGGCCATGGATGGAAATTCCCATGCCAATTGAATTTTCCAAATGCGTCAAGTCAAATGTGTAATCTGCAGATGGGCATCGCAGATTAGGAGGAGTGTTTGTGCTCTTGTTCATATGCCTGCATATCCCATTCTGCATTTCATTCAATCCAACATTACCTTAGCCGTTTCGAGATCGAAAACAAGAAGGCGCGTCCGTGGATTGGGCGTTGGTGTGGGAAGACCCGCACAAATCGAGAAGTGTACAAGGCACACAAGGCGAAGGACACTTGGGACTCAGGGCTGACCTTAAACAATATATATATACACACATGTGGGTGTGTATGTGTTTGTGTCGTACATGTGTGATCATACGCGAGCTGCGTGCCACAGATCCCAAACAGAGAACATGTGCCTCATCGAGAGATCCCTTTGGAAAGCTCTCCGAGCTAAGAGGTGGCACTTTGTGAGCCATTGCAAGCCGCTTTGCTACCACTCAACGGGTCAACAAACCCCAGGAATTGAAGACCTTACCCCGGGCCTCTTGAATCATGTTACTGTAATCATGTTTCTTGCAAATCTACTGGATCTATGTTGGACACTCATGGGTCAATATTTCCTCAATGGCTCTTGCCAAAAATTGACTTTTCGTACTCATTCCTAGTCCTACTCAAACGGCTCTGAACCAAAAAGCGGGCAATGAAGTCCATCCAGCTTTCAGCAGTTTCCAATTCCAAATCTCCTATGCGCTAAAGTGACAATGGCAACGCCCCATTGGGAACCGTGTTGATTTTTGTGGCAGGTGTCACGGTTTCACAGCATGACGTCATGCATCAACGTATATCAATGTACTCTGAAAGGAGCACGATTTAAGCTGATACGAGTTGTGCAAATATTGCTGAAAAAGTATACTCGTGCGATCTCGTGTGGGCTTTGAGCATCTAGGTGACAGGCTGACTGCGCTGAAGAGCAGCACGTCCAGGGCGGCTCTGTGCCCACCTGTGCTGTACGGTCGCGGGGCAACGCTGCTTTCAATACCTTTTGAGTCCTGTCTTAGCAATTTCAAGCATGTGTAAGCACTGTGTCAGCGGTTTGAGGACTGGAGTTTGAACAGAGCCTGTAGAGTCTTTTCACGTGACCAGCTCTTAACCTTGGCGCGTGGCCAGCTGACATGATCTGACATTCGTTAATATGATGGCCATATGTGTTTTTTGCCCGTGCAATAATGAGTTGTTAAAGTTTTGAAATGCTTTCAAGGGCAGCTTATGCAGCGCGATCTGTGTCTAGCTTGGCAATTCCACTTGCTATGGCCCCAACTTCCAATCTTGCGCTTTAGCGATTGCTTCAACAGCCGCGTGCCTAGGAGAAATGACGCAGGCGCCTTGAACAATCAGGATTTATCTTCCAGTCCTTGACGTGATCAGGACATATCAGGGGTCACAGTTCTTTTTCTTCCCATCTGATGGCAACACCAATGATGGCAACAGGATGCACGATACCAAATGCCAGGTGTCTGACGGGCTTCCACCAGCGACAATACCAAGTCCTACAGCCATCATGGTGAGTACGGAGCCTCTATGGCACTATGGTGCTATGAATATCTGTGAATTGGGAGGACATTCGGTACAAAGCGCCCCTTGAAGAAACTTTCAGCTCGCGACTCGCCGCTGCCATCATCATAGCATCCGCACGCCATTGCAACACCTGCAAGCTTTAGAAGAGCTGGTCATGTTTTTTGCTATCTTGAACTCACGTTGTGTATGTAATAATGTGTGTACGTACGGGAACAAACAAGAATCAAACAGCTACACATAATTACACATATATCAATATATATGTGTGTGTGTGTGTGCGTGTATCTATATATGCATGTATGCCTGTATTAAAGATGCTGTATAGATAATTATATGTGCATCTGAGATGTATGCGTCAGGCTGCCGTCCAAAAACGAAGCCCCAACGGGAGAAGGTATGAGACTGTCAGGCTATCGGGCAAAAAAATGCATGTTTCTCCTGAAACGAAATCATAAGCAATCTTCGCAAACCAAAAGCATTGCAGTGACATCCAGAAATTTATTGGTGTGGACAGTGCTACACATAAAACCCAACATGAGATCCAAAAGGGAAAATCCAAAATGTTGCAAAATCTTGGGATATTAACGCTTTCCAAAAATTCCTTGGAATTGAGAAGATTGGCAACCAAGAAAACCTGATTTGCTTGTGCTCTTCCAGTTTTTTCTAAGCAAGGAAACCCGTTACTGGCGTTACAGGCATTGGGTGGCACTCAATGTATCTCCGTGTTTGCGTGTTTTCATGTTTATTCAATTGTATTTTATTTAAATTTAAGATTTACAATCAATCTATACTTGATTTAGGGACATGATACTAAGTGAAAGCTCAACATATCCGCCGACCCCGGCAGACGCAAGGGGGAGCGCGCCAGGGAATAAGACATTGCGACTACTACTATGCTACTGCAGCTACAGTAGATAGAAACAGCAGCAGCAGTAGCAGCAGCAGCAGCACAACAACCACAACAACAACAACAACAACAAGAACAACAACAACAACAACAACAACAACAATGACCCTTTGCCGGGGGACCCTGTTGGGTCCCCCTCCCACCGGTCACGTACGTCGATTCATTGACTCCGGGGTTTTTGCTTTACCGGTGGGGGGTCCTTCCCGGAGTCTCCTCGAGGTACGTGGGGCTCCTTGGGTTGCCCTTCCCGCTCTGATTTGTTCGTTCGAGGCCGCATCCTCGAGGTTCTATGTCTCATTGTACAAACAGTGGTATAAAAATTGGTCGAAACCGGGAAAAGGTTCGCAAAATTGGCAAAAGGTGGCGCGTCTGTCCTTCACTGCCATGGTGTTTGGGTGTGGCGGAGTATTGGCAAAAGACTATTTTTAATAGGGTTTCAGAAGGGACGTTAAAGCGGAAAAGGTTGGGAAAAAGAGACAGAGACACATTTTTTCTAGGAATTCAGAAGGGATGTTAGGCAGTTTTTCGGTGCGATTCTGTGGCCTGTTCGTCCTTCCGTGCCTTGCTGTTTTGGTGCCGGGAGGTGCTCTTGCTACTCTTCTGTTAGCAGAAGCAGCAGCAGTAGGTGAGCTGCTGGGAGATTGAAAAAGCGGAAAAGGTTGGGAAAAAGAGACAGAGACAAAAAGGTTGGGAAAAGAGACAGAGATATTTTTTTTTCTTAGGAATTCAGAAGGGACGTTAGGCAGTTTTTCGGTGCGATTCTGTGGCTTGTTCGTCCTTCCGTGCCTTGCTGTTTTGGTGCCGGGAGGTGCTCTTGCGACTCTTCTGTCAGCAGCAGCAACAGCAGCAGCAGCAGGTGAGCAGATGGGAGATTGAAAGAGCGGAAACGGTTGGGAAAAAGACATTTTTTCTTGGAATTCAGAAGGGCCGTTAGGCAGTTTTTCGGTGCGATTCTAGGGCCTGTTCGTCCTTCCGTGCCTTGCTGTTTTGGTGCCGGGAGGTGCTTTTGCTACTCTTCTGTTAGCAGCAGCAACAGCAGCAGCAGCAGGTGAGCTGATGCTTCCGTGCCTTGCTGTTTTGGTGCCGGGAGGTGCTCTTGCGACTCTTCTGTCAGCAGCAGCAACAGCAGCAGCAGCAGGTGAGTTTTTTTGGGTTCATGTGTTACGTTTTGGGCACGAAATTAGGTGGTGTTTTGCTGTTTCGGAACCGTTTCGAAACAGCAGGCCCAGCTATAATATTGTTTAGGAGATTCTGGGGGATTCGGCCGAAACAGCTGGCCCAGCTAGGATTCCCGAACTAGGATCTAGATCTAGATCTAGGATTTTCTATAGGATATAGGATTCTCTAGGATTTCAGACGGGACGTTAGGCAGCATGAAAAATTGTGTTTTTCTAGGATGGCACCAATGGGTGTCAAGAACGTTGGCAAGAGCACGCAAAAGGTGCACATAGCCAGTAGCTAGCAGCCAGCGCCAGTAGCAGCCAGCGGCCAGTAGCCAGCAGCGTACCAAAAAATCTAGATTTTTCTAGGATTTCAGACGACACGTTAGGCACTTTTTTGGCGTGGTTCTGGCACTCGCTCGTCCTTCAGAGCCCTGGTGTTTTCCCCCCCGGAGGTGATTTTTTCGAACCTGTTTTACTGCTAGCAGCCGCCAGCAACAGAATCTATCGAAAAATTGTGTTTTTCTAGGGTGTCAGACGACACGTTAGCAGCAGCAGCAGCAGCAGCAGTTGTTTCTTGCTTTGGAAGCTCTTTGATTGCAGCAGCACGACAGCAGCACCACAGCAGCAGCAGCACCAGCAGCAGGCAGCAGGCTGCCGCAGGCAGCAGCAGGCAGCAGCAAGCATCAGTAGGCAGCAGCAGACACAAGCAGACGCAGCAGCAGTAAGCGCAACGGCAGCAGTGCAGCAGCTAGCAGCACGAAAAATTGTGTTTTTCTAGGATGGCACCAATGGGTGTCAAGAACGTGGGCAAGAGCGCGCAAAAGGTGCACATAGCCAGTAGCTAGCAGCCAGCGCCAGTAGCAGCCAGCAGCCAGTAGCCAGCAGCCTACCAAAAATCTAGATTTTTCTAGGATTTCAGGCGACACGTTAGGCACTTTTTTGGCGTGGTTCTGGCACTCGCTCGTCCTTCAGAGCCCTGGTGTTTTCCCCCCCGGGAAGTGATTTTTTCGAACCTGTTTTACTGCTAGCAGCCGCCAGCAACAGAATCTATCGAAAAAGTGTGTTTTTCTAGGGTGTCAGACGACACGTTAGGCAAGAGCACGCAAAAGGTGCACATAGCCAGTAGCTAGCAGCCAGCGCCAGTAGCAGCCAGCGGCCAGTAGCCAGCAGGGTACCAAAAAATCTAGATTTTTCTAGGATTTCAGATGACACGTTAGGGACTTTTTTGGCGTGGTTCTGGCACTCGCTCGTCCTTCAGAGCCCTGGTGTTTTCCCCCCCGGGAGGTGATTTTTTCGAA